TTAGCATTTTTAAGAAACCTAACACCCAGGAATCCATGTAAAAGAGAATATTCATATTCAAATCAACAGGGCTTTTGCAGCCACTGAATGAAATTAAAATCATTGAATTCATTTTTCCATTAATTTGGCAAAACTATACAATTTGTTGCTTATCCAGGGTATATAATGACCACTCTGGGGCAAACAGCTTTCCATGTCCACTGATCAAACTGCCTTGAGGTAGATAAGGATGCAAGAGAAGATTTTTCACTGAGTGGACTGTTTCAAATCAATTCCCTGTTATATTAGTGCTGGTTGCAAGGATTCAAGGCGCTGTTGGGGAAAATAACTTATCCTCAGAGGAACAGTTTAATTGATGCCCAAGTTGATGCAGAGACAAAACTTTGTTCTTTGCTCAGGCTGCCAGGTGAGCAGTTCCCGCTCTTCATAAATTCTAAAAACCCATTGTAAATATTTTACACATTTTTTTCTTTTTAAAGTTTGCATAAGAGTGACTGGGATTAGTAACCATATTACATTCTTCTGATGTCTATATTTGGTATCGCCTCCTAAAGAAAATCAGTAACTTTGTGGCAGAAAAAAATTATAAGTATTTCAAAATTAAGGGGTTGTTTGCTATTATTTTAGTCACACCAATTGGTTTCATAAAAAAATCACTTTTGGTTTCATTTTTAGGCCCCATTGCTTTTCTTCCTCCAACCCAAAAAAGAAACAGCAATTTCTCTATACATATTTGCTATTTCTTTAATTTCTTCTGGAGGTAATTAGTTCCTTTTCTGGGCATTATATGACACATTGGCTTGTCTTCTACAGAGATAAACTGGCACTAATGTTAATCTGGGGATTAAGTCCTTTACAGTACATACTTGGAATTCAATGCCCAAGGTATAAGGTTGGGCTGTTAGGTGCGTAAGTCATCCATTTTAATCTCATAGTTAAGATCAATGAAGTAATTATTTGCTCCAACTCAGAGAAGATGGTTCTGTGTATCTTCATTCATTCAAGTACAGGGAAGCCAGCTCCCTAGAGAAAAGGTCACCCAGAAACAATTCCAAGAGTGCCTGCATTAAAGGCACTTTTCATAAATGGCCCACAGTTTTTTAGTGTACCAATTTGTAAGCCTTTTGTTATTCTCTGTATCAAGACAGGAATTACTACTACTCTTTTTTGGTATGACTAAGTGCTGAAGTTTTTCTAAAGGTAGATGACATATGAAAAGGGATAATTTCTGATGTTATTAAAACTCTGGAGGAAGTACAGCAAATGATGTCCGCTGCCTTGAATCTTTCCCAGCAGTGTAACACTGTAATGCGAGAAGCTTCTGAAGTGGACAGAAGCCCTGGCGGTTCTAGGGGGGAAAAAAGGACCTGAGCTGCTACATTCTAAGGTCCTTTGATTGTGAAATCTATATGGCAAGTAGCCTTGAGGTATATCTTTCTTTTGTAACCAATGTACTGCCCCACACTTCCCCTAAAAGTGTGTTTAAAAGTCAGGTACATGTAATGCACCCAAAACACTTGTGCATGTATTGTATTTTTACTCTCCACTGATTTTTGGGGGGGGGGGGGAGGAGGAAGCAATAATTACATGGACAGAGGCAGCCATGGAAACTGGCAATTAGGAAGAGAATGAGGCATTTTCAAATTACAGCTAAGTAGACAACACTTTTGAGGCTGAGATTCTCCAAGACTGGCAGACTTCTTTTGCTACTTTATCTAAAGCTGCCTTTCAACAATTAAAGTGTGGCCACAACCTCCCCAAATATAGTAACTACAGGCCATTTGCTAGAGATCATACAGAAGTAATTGCACTTTCTCTTCAATATAAGACAAGGGCAGGTTGATTTACCATTGGAGGAAGGCTGAACTGAAGGAGATCTAAATGCTATTTATCTTTACACTGCAGTTCACAATTCATTGCTTCATAGCACTGATTTAAAATCCATGTGAAGTAGGTTTCCCCAGTCCTGCGTCTTCCAAATATATTTGGTTTCAACTCTCAGAATTTCCCAACCAACAAAATATTAGTTAGGAAGTACTGAAGCTGAAATTGAAAGCATCAGGAGAACAACAGATTGGAGAAAACTATACTTCTTCCAGAATCCATAATAAATGCTAGGTCATACTTATTTTATCAAAGTGTGTAACTTCATCTGAAAACATTCAGTGTACTAGCCACAGGAAGAAGCAAAATCCCTGAAATGTTAAAATATTAAACACTGGTAAAATAGGAATAGGATTTGCATTTGTGTCTATCTGGAATAGGGATTTTACTGTGGCTCAGACTTACATGTCAAAACATGTACATACCAAATTAAGAGAGAGGTTATAGGACATTAAGCCACTTTTCACAAAATGAAAAGTAAAGCCATTTTATCCATTGAACTGGAAATAATTTGAATCTGATGACTTAACAGTTCATGAGAATTACAACTCTATGGCCATTTGCCACAATTTTAGTCTTCAGTTGACCATCTCATTCCACCAGGATTGTTCATTAGGAATACACATCTTAGGTGGATTAAAGCATATTCCTCACTGATTGGTTTTCTAATTATTTCAATATTTTCTCTGGCTTAACAAATTAAAATATTCAGAAGGGATAGGGGAAGGAGAGAGGAAGAGAGACGGATAGACAGATGTGCTATTTATTTCCTCATTTAAGGATAAACCTGGCTCAATTCAGATATCATACAAATCCGCCTTTGTAATAAAATCTTATACTTGCCAACTAAGAAGTTCCACTGTTAAATGAACTTAACTTTCCAGTGAGAGATTGTAGAAAGCTTAATTATGATTTAATAGTATTTATTTACTTACAAATCATACTTTGTTATTTGCCAAGCATAAAAAATCAGAAACCCAAGCTAAAAATCAATTTGCAAGGTCAATTTTAAGGTGATTTATCAGTTAAAAAGAGCCATTTTAAAAACATGGCATTATAGAAAAGAAAGTACTAAGTATGGAAAGCAGATAAATAAATAGTTGTGTGTGGACAACACGAGTACCCACAGTAATTTAAGAAGGATTTACTGAATGAACCAAATTTACTTTGCTTGGATAAAACTCTTAAATCTATTAATCACAATTTGGATGAATTTAAAGAATACACTGAGTCAGTGTTTTAGTCTAGCATGTTGTATGAATTCTGCTCATACTAGAATGCTGAATCATGGCTTATGTTTTAAATTAAAAAACAACTTGAATTCTAAACTATAAAGTCCCACAATCCATGATTTGGTATACATTTCTGAATTGAGCCAGTGCACTATTTTAGGAGAGAGTACCAAAAAGTTAAATTTGTTTCCTTATTTTTCTCCCCATTTTTATAAACTTTTAGGACAACTGGAACACGCAGCCAATTTGAAGAATGTAATCTTTCCCCATATTTTGACAACTTCCAAGGAAATGGGGGAAAAGATATCTTACTAATATGCAGAATGAATTTTAGACTTTCAAAACATTTTTAAAGTGACAGGAAGTCTCTCAGGGGACATATGGATGTTAAGGGAGATACTGTATTCTAAATGTAAAATTGAATGACCTTCCTATAAAGCAGAGATGGTCCACTGAGGATATGCAGGTCCAGAGTCAGTCTTCAACCTCCAGTCTTTTTTCCCAGACACTGGATGGAACATGAAAATCACCCAATCAGATTCTTGAGCTCATTCTCCCACAGTGGCAATATAGCCAAAGTGTCTTGTCCAGATGGGCTCAGAATGAGCTCAAGCTCTACTGTATGCTAAAGGGACTATGGGGGGAAAATCTGACATCTGACTTTCATAATCTTAAGGACATAATACTGTATCTGTCTGGAGAGGTCCTCAGTCATCCAGGTCATGCTTGTCTCAAAGGTGCTCCCCCCTCCCCCAAAAAGGCTGTTGTTTCCTTAAGGAAGAAGAAAATGTTTTGTTTCTCATCCAAGAAGGTTCATTAGTTTTGATGGTGGGGAGATGGATAGGTACTGACAGTTGAGACTAGATTCAGGGGGGCTGGAAGGATAGGTTCTGATAGAATTGGGAGGGGGGGCTGGAAGGATTATATTCCTTTGCAGTCATCTGGTTGTTAGCACTCTCTGAGAGCTGCTGAAACCACTAGATTAGGGCACAAATAAACTAGATTAGGGCACAAATAAACCCCCCAAGTGGCCTCAATAGCTTTCAGAGCTATTGACCAGATGATTGCAAAGGGATACAATCTTTCCATCCCCTCCCCACCATCCTATCAGAACCTATCCTTCAATCCCCCGCCATTAACTAATGAAGCTTCTTGGATAAGAAGCGAAATGTTTTCTTGTTCCTCCTCAAGGAAAAAACAACAACAATCCAGTTTCCTTTTAAAGAAAAAAGCATCTTTGAGATAATACTGTATCAGAAGCCAAATACCTGGAAAATATCAGATAAGGGAGCCTGTTAGGGAGGCAGTTATAAAGAATCCGGTTCCATTCTCTGCCCTTCTCTTGACAAGTGCAAACATTAATTCATGTTAGGGACAGGGTTGCCCAAATAAGTCTTGAAACTATTGGGGGTGGGTGGGGAAGGTAGTATTAAGGTGGGCTTTTTTAAAATTTTGGTCTTGATCTAGTAAAGCATGACATGCTTCCATGTGTAAGCTTCTTGCTTTCCTAGACAAAACCATGATCATCCGTAGTTTGATAGTCTGACAGAGTAATTTGATTTAAAACTTCTTGTTTATTGCTGAACTTAGTATCCCCCCCCCAAATAGTATACTGTGTGAAAATACCTTTGTGTGAGAGTCCATGTCTGTATTAATACAGACACGTATATGCTCATGATAGAGTAAGACACCCATCTCCAAAAAATTATTAATACCTGCCTATGGTAAACTGAATCCCAGCCACTCTTAGGGTTCTGAAACAGATCATCATTCTTTTCTGCTTGGCTTTGTTTCATCCATTGTCAATGTTGTTCATCCATCTGTCCATCTCTCACTCTTTCTCTCTCTCTCTCTTCTTTCATACACCCGGGTACAAGTCATTTCCTATTTCCTTCGTGCTTGTGTCTGGCTGTTCTGTCCCTTTTGATGCTGTTGTTTCACCTGAGCAAGGATATCACGTATTTTGCGTTGAGCCATCTGGTAAAAAAGAGTGATGGGAGAGGGAGGAGGGAAAAGAAGGAAGGTAAAGATAGATAAGACAAATCACTCTTCTTCTCACTCTGGGAATTATAGTAATGACATTTCAACAATTCTAGGTTTCAAATGGGTGGCTTATTGATGCAAACTAAGATCAAAACCCCATGATTTGACACTGTCTATCAATAAATTAAGAATTCAGATAGTTACAATTTTCTCTTTGCTTCTTCTCATAATTATAAGCAGTTATAAACAAGATGATCAGAGTTTTTCAAACTTGGCAACTTTATTGCTGACTGGAAACCCCTTATGCTACCCTTTTTGCATAAAACAGAAAAAGTGAATTTAGGATTTGTAATTTTGGTGCTTAGAAACAATGTATTATAGAAACAAGATAGTTATGTTGTAACCATAGTGTAAAAAGTAAATTAATGACTGTTCTTAAGAAAGGCAGGGAGCTACTTATTTGTATCTTTTTTTTTCTTTTCTATATTTCTTTTAGTTTTTTCCCTTCTTGCATTTTTAGCTTTCTCTTTTATTTTATTTTTCCATTTTTATTTCTTTTGCTTACATTATTTTAGTTTGTGGTCCTTTTTATCGTCTGTTTTAAAAAAAATTAAATCTGTGTGCGTGTGATTGTGTGCGAGAGAGGGAGGAAGGGAAAGAAAGATAAAAATAGTGCTCTGCCTTGCTACCCCATCGCTCAACCTTGGATTACTAGGTAGGCCTTCTCTCTTACCTTGAGACGCTGTTGATCAATGCCAAATCAGGTTGGAAGAAAGCGAGTTTAACCTCATTTACATCAATGAGATTTGGTGGCAGCAGCGGAAGATCTAACCCAGCTCTGCCCAACCAGATATTTGGCCCAATAGCAGCTCAATTCAGAAAGACAATGTGGAGGAAGAAGTCATCTATCAGAATTTTGTCCCATCCAAGAATCTCAAAACTGATTTTGGGCTGATTTTGGATCACAGACAAAAATCAAGGATTTCATTGATGAACCACCTGCCCTGCTGTTCATCTTTCCCCTTGCCTCAGCTAGTGAAGACAATCTCTTAAGTTCGCCATAGAGATTCCCAGGAAATATCAATATCCCTGCAGTAGCTATTCACTCAAGTACATCTCAGAACATGATAGGTCCAAAACATAGTGCAGAACTTTTAATCTCAATCCAATTTGGAGGACAAGCCAAAATGGAAGTGATCCAGTCATTAATGCTTTGAGAATCCACCTGTCTTATGGATGGGCCATAAGAAAGATGGATTCTCTTAAGAAAATCAACCTCTCTTATGAGAACTAATTATCTAAGATTATGAGATTTAATTATCTATGGCCAAGTGCTCCTGAAAAGGCAAGAAAGTTATTCAGTTGGTCTGCCCTAGAAACTAATGGAGTCAGAAACATTCTCAAATGTTTTGGAAGATTTTTCAGAAGCAATGGCATATAATCATATTCAGGTGGAACAATGAAATAAGAAGGGACATCAAACCATCTCTGGTTACACAAAATTGGAATATCCTTAGTTTACTGCTTAACTTTGAGCAATGAACTGAATGGAATTCTGTTATGAAGTTAGAACATAGAAGGTCCTCAACAATTACTGCATCTTTTTTGAACTGCTAAAAGGGCTTTCTCTGAGGGTGGACTGGATACTCGGGGCCAGTCCTCAGAAATTCAGTAACGCATTGCAGTAACTATTTGCAATGGACTGTCAAAAGTAAAACTGCTTTGCATTTGGTCAGCATTAAACATCACAATTACTGCAATTGAATTTAGAGATTGCAATTGGGCTAGTATTTGTGAGATCAGATGGCACCAGTGGCAAGGAAGTTCTATTTCTAATTCCTACTGAGCTGCCAACTGCAGCTCTACTTGAGTTAAGGTAACCTAGTTGCAGAGTTCTATGTCTTACTAGTCTCGTAATTGGATTACTGCACTGCACGCTATGTGAAATTACTTTTAAATATGGTCCACAACCTGCAAATAATCAAGAGTTAACTAAGCTGGTTAAATGAGACCACAATATATGAAATGTTAAAATACTGGGATGACGTGTGTGAATGGAAAGTTGGGATATTTAAAGGTAATTAATTTTGAGAGAATTATGACCAAGAAGAATGATTTGAATACCGAGGGGAAATTAAGCTTAAATAAGAATTTTGAAAACAGGACATATAGTGACTTAACAAGATGACTTTTATAAATATAATTGAAATATAAGCTGTTCAGAAAAGATGTCATATGTGGATGTTATAGGATATATAAATAGTATAGTATCTTTATAATATATGAAATATGAAAATATTGGGATGGGGTATGTAAATGAAAAGTTTGGATATTTAGGTAATCAATTTTAAGAAAACTATGACTGAGAAGAATGGTTTGAATACTGAGGGGAAATTAAGTTTAAATAATAATTTTGAAAACAGGACACATAGTGACTTAACAAGATGACTTTTATAAATACAATTGAAACATAAATTAATTAGAAAAGATGTTATATATGGATGTCATTGTTATTTGTACAAACACAAAAAATGTTTATATCTATCCTTGTATGCATTGAAAATATTATTATATTTATCTAATGTTGACAAAGGAGAATACCATTGGAAGAAGGGAAGATCAAGGAAATATACTATTAATTAATACATTGAGCATGGAATTATAGAAATTAATTATCATTTATTGTTTTTTCAAATTTATGAACCCAGATAACACGCTGTTTACTAAGCACCAATGATTATTATTGCAAAAAATCAATAAAATACATTAAAAAAACCTCTTTGGGGGGCAGGGAAGTGAGCATGGTGGTACTGCAATAGCATCATCAAAGACATAATGTAAGATTTGGAGTTATTTTTGATACTATCTGCCCAGTAAAGTTGATACAGTAAACCTATCTAAAAGATCTATTCACTATTTATTTTTGAAATGCAATGTAATGTTGAAAGAGTAAGGAATGCTGATCTCCTGCCAAAAGGGGCTGAGAAACTGAATGCCATAAGCAAGCTGCCTGCTCCTTGTCTAGCATCAGCTGTGAACCAAGCCCATCTTAGCATAGTACAGTGATCTGTATTAGCTGCTACCTGGCTAGCATAGAAATGTCCGATGATTTTGACAATGACTTGCTCATTCTCATCAGGGGTTTGATCCCGGGGAACAACTACCTCAGCTGCTGTCAGGTTCTGAAGTTCATTGACCTACAGATAGAGGGGAAAAAATTAATTAATTAATTTGACAGCATTTAAAATGCTAATTATTCTATACTGAAAAGAACAAATGGCTTTGCAAATACCCTATTTTGTGGTCATGTCCCACTTTATTAGGACACCCAACTAAGAAATTCCAACTTGCTCATATTCAGATATGCAGAAATCTAAAAAGAATCATTCAGCATTTTGAAATTGTGCCATTCCCTTCAACATTCTTATTTTAAATACTCTAAAACCGGGGCCACACTTTATTTTATTTTTAAAGACGTACGATTCAATAAATAAGGTATAGATGACTAAACTAGCGCAATACTTCAAGTTAAAACCAGCAAATTATGCAATGGCTTAACGCCAACCATGAAGTCTTAAAAGTATATATTGTAAATCTAGAAAACTAATTTTATATGGTTTATTTATATATTTGAAAACTAGTTTAGATATAATCACGATTTATAATAATAATCATAATTAAGATTTCAAACTATGAGTTGTCTTTCTCATGACCGCAGAGCAACACCTCAAACAGTATTTTGCTTGTTAAAATGTACAAATAGTAATCAACCTAGGACCACAAGAGCCTGGAATTTCCACTGTAAATCCTGAGGGTCATACGTTGAGACATCCATGTGCCAGACCCAACCTTACAACTTTTGCAAGTTGTAAGCAAATGCTGTCATTATAAAGAGAACATGGTGGTTGTTAAGCAAATCAATGTATTCCTATGGGCAATTTTGCAAGAAACCAGCCAAAAAGGGCAGAAACCAGTCAAAGTCATAAATTATGGCCACATGACTATGGAATGCTGAAACTGGCCATAAAGATGAACTGGTTGGCAAGTGCCTGAAATGTGGCTATGTGTCCACAGGGGAAGGAGGGAGCACAACTAATGAAACTGGGTCGTAAGTGGCGTTGAAACAGTCCATTATAACTTCAAATGATGGATGGTAGATCTTCCTCCAACCTGATTTCAGATCTTGGTTTCTGACTGTTTTCACACTGCTCTTCATCAGAAGCTAATTTAAGCAATACAGGAAACCACAATCTAGCCTGATGTTAATTTTTAAATCTCCTCAGGGCTTTCTGTAAGGTGCCAATTTGAAACGTGCCTTGAATTTTAACTGTGCTTCGGTTATCAGGCATTTGGGAAACAGATCTGCATCATATTGACCATACATTATTTAATGCCCCATCTTGGGCCACAGATGAAGCAACCCACCCTCACAGGGCTTTTTTTCTAATATGACTCTTTCCACAGCCCAACCCTGCACTCACTGTTTTGCCTCCTTTGCCAATGACTCTTCCTGCTGCTGAGGCAGGGACTCGGATGTGCGTCTCAAGTTTTACTTCTTCTTTGGGCCCAAAAAAGTTCTCCTCTTTCAGCTTTCCATAAATTCGTCCTTGAGCCTGAAAAAAATCAAGCCACCAAAGAGCAATTAAATAGGTAATTCATTTCCTCTGAAATTACAGCATGTTTTAGCTTTACCTAATACTGGAAGAGTGCTATTAATTATACCTTAACATAAATACATATCAAAATAGCTCATCCTTCTTATTGTTTGTTCTCAAATCCTAGATCGTCAGCTAATGTCTATGGGTGCCTTCAAATCATTGCTGACACTTAGTAACTGATCCCTGCAGTTTTCTTGGCAAGATTTTTGGAAGTGATATGCCCTTGTCTCCTAGGGATGAGAGAGACTGGTCCAAAGTCACCCAGCTGGCATTGGGTAGTCCCATATAGCAAGACTACAATTCACATTCTCCCAGTTCCTGGACTGGTACATTAACCTCTACACCAGACTTCCTCTCTAGGAATGGCAATAGTGATACTTAAATAATAAACATAATTAAATGGGGTAGCAGAACACTAAGTTAACAGCTGTGCACAAATTCGATATACTTAAAACTAGTATTTTCTGATTTCTGTTATGTTAAGTATTAACATTTGGCAGTAACTTGTAAAAGGATTCTGAGGGCTGCAGAGAGTTCTGAAATAGCAGGCTATCAGTCCGTTTTCTGGGACTGGCAACTTCAACATTCAGCAAAGTGGTTACTAAGTGAAACCGCAATTGTGATTACAATCTTATGTCAGCTTTTGTTTGCTTTAGCAAACTGCAAAGGTTATAAATGCAAATAATGTTTACAAAGTTACCCTTTCATCACATAACTGAAAAAGTTACTAAATGAGGCAGTTGCTAAACACCTGTAGAACTTTGGATGTCGCTTTGTTTTTGTTAGGATTTCTTTACATTTTAGAAAGAAAGAAAGAAAGAAAGAAAGAAAGAAAGAAAGAAAGAAAGAAAGAAAGAAAGAAAGAAAGAAAGAAAGAAAGAAAGAAAGAAAGAAAGAAAGAAAGAAAGAAAGACATTTCTGTAATTTTAACTTCCTCTCTATATATAATTCATAGAAGAAAGAAACCTTAAATTGGGCTTCTGGCGGTCCAGTGATTATCACCATACGCACTTTGGAATCTGGCGTCTCTGGAGGAGCAATCTAGAGAAGACAAAAAGAGGCAATGAAATGAAATACTAATCTGTCTAACAACAAAGTCCCAGCTGAGCAGGGAAATTGATCCAGTCATGAAGTAAGAATTGTGTTTTTAAAAAAATGGTGATGGTGATATCCTTCCAAAGATGTTTCCCAGATTTTCTTACAAATAGATTAAAGTATAAAAAAATGCACTATTAATTTCATCAATGCAGTCAGAGAGACACTATTAGGAAGTTTCTGCCTTGTTTTCCAAAACCAACATGGCTGTAGCTATTGCATAAAAAATTTCACACAATCACTAACTAGCAAAGATTGAAGCACTGAAGCAACAGAAAGGTATGGGCACCTTGATTGAGGCACTTGCGAATCTGGAGAGCTGTTTGATGTGCTGCCCCTTCTTGCCAATGATTGCGCCTACAGCCTGGGCAGGGATGAAAACATGCACGGTCTCTTGCTCAGGAGGCTGCCAAGAGAATAGTTTTATGAACACCAATCAATGTCAGAGAAACTGGACATTTTCAATTGACATCCTGATAGGCTAAAAACAAATTTCTACTACTATCCATTATGGGCTGAAGTGCCATGACATCATTACATGCTTAGTGCAACTTCAGTGAACTCAGCATGAACGGAACAGATGATGATGATAAATGCAGCTAGGAGAAATGGTATGTGAGAGAATTTGGCTATAGAGGTAAAATAGGTTTGAAGTGTTTATAATAACAGGAAGCAACAAATTGGGAGGGGTGGTTATGAAAGCTCAATCAAACCATCTTTTTCCGTCTTCGTGCTCAGAAGCAAAGTATATAAACATCATTGAAATTGATGTATTGTATTGAGGAGCCCTTGTGGCACAGTGGTTAAAAGTGAAGTATTGTAAGCAAACTCTGCCCACAGCCTGAGGTTCAGTCCTGAAGGAGCTCAAGGTTGACTCAGCCTTCCATCTTTCTGAGGTCATTAAAAATGAGGAGCCAGATTGTTGGGGCCGATATGTAAATAGTGCTTATGCTGTACACTGCCCAGAGAATGCTGTAAAGTGCTATGGGGCAGAATAAACATCTAAATGCTACTGCTATTGCACACGCTTTTCTTATACACTACTGACATTGCAAGAATCAGTGAAACACTAAAGTATAACACCTGACCCTCATTAAAAATCTTGTCCATTTTGCAATTGTCCAGTTTTGTATCCAGATATGACACTCCATGTGAAATAAAATACAAAAAAAAAGATTCTCAACATTCTAGAAACACCCCCATATAAGGATGCATTATATGCATTTTGCTGAATGCAACCAAATTTAGTGGGAACCAAATACACAGCTTAGTGGAAGCTATGCAAACAGATAAACTGCCTCTTTTTTCTATGACAATTCTATGCTACAAATTGCTTATATAGAAACAGAGCTCAACCTTACCAAAAAAGAATTATATGGAGCTGCTCCAGAAACACTACTTGGAGGAGGGGGCACTGCATTGGAAGAAGCAGGAAAGAGACCAACAGCAGCTAGGTTGAGACCAGGTATCAAGTGTGACTGTAGCTAAAATAAAAACAGAGAAAACAAGACAAAAGGGAAGGGGGAAGGGGGTGTTTATTTTTTTTTCATTAAAACACAGTTATCTGGGACTTTAATAACTCTGAAAGGCTTAAAGCAAAGATCACCTCATTTTTCTTTAAATGAGCATACTTAATATTATGTTTGAAAGCTCTTGCTTTGAAGTGATGTTTCTCTTTTTATACTCAAGATGTATAAAATTCTTTTAGAATTTGCTTTAAAAAGTTTAAGTCTATTTTATTATTAGTTTAATTTATTAAATTGTTATGGCCACCCAGAAGATGGCTTAACAATTAAAATGGAACCCCTATAAATAGGCAGCCTAGAACAGGGATCTGCAACCTTGACAACTTTAAGACTTGTGGACTTCAGCTTCCAGAATTCCTCAGCAAGATTAGTAGTAGTAGTAGTAGTAGTAGTAGTAGTAGTAGTAGTAGTAGTAGTAGTAATAATAATAATAATAATAATAATAATAATAATAATAATAATAATAATAATAATAATAATAATAATAAAAAAAAGTTGGAAGGGACCTTGGAGGTCATCTAACCAATCCCCTGCTCAAGCAGGAAACCCTATACCATTTCAGACAAATGGCTGTCCAGTCTCTTCTTAAAAACTGGCTGAGGAATTCTGCTGGCTGAGGAATTCTGGGAGCTGAAGTCCACAAGTCTTAAAGTTGTCAAGGTTGCAGACCCCTGGCCTAGACTAAAACAACTGGAATAAACAACAAATATGACAACCCGCTACTCCCCAAATGCAGAGCAAACACATTAACCCCTGAGGCCTAGGAACAGAGTCAGGTCTTAAGAGGGGTTCTGGATGCTGTTCTAGAAGGTGGGGGCCATAACATAGAAGGCACACCTCCTTTGTCCCACAAGATGGCATCATTTAATTAAAGAGATCTGCAGCATGTCCTCCCTGCTCAAATATACAGGTGGACAGAAAGAACTGAAGGGAGGTAGTTTCTCAAATAACCAGGCCCCGTGCCAAGAAGGACTAGGTCAGTGGTGGCGAACCTATGGCACGGGTGCCAGAGGTGGCACTCAGAGCCTTCTCTGTGGGCACGTGCGCCGTCTCCCTAGTCCTAGGCCTTCAGCTGGGTTTTATAAAACCTTTTCGCTTTAGGCCTGCGCCGCGGTGTACAAAAAAAAAGGTTCAATCAATCAGTCAATTTCAACTTCTCACGGGGAAAAAAACATCTTGCAAAGTTGGAATTGATTGATTGAACTTTTTAGTCCCACCCAGTCTGCTGTTACCACCACAGCCACACCCACCCAATGGGCCATACTCACCCGGCACCCGACGATGCATAAGTGGGTTTTGGGTTGCAGTTTGGGCACTCGGTTTCTAAAAGGTCCGCCATCACTGGACTAGGTTGTTACTCTCTGCTATATATCTTCCCATTACTTTGTACAGGTAGTCTCAACTTACAATCAATCATTTAGCAACCATTCAAAGCTACATTCAATATCATTCAATAACACTGAAAAAAGTTGCTTACAACCAGACCTCGCGAATACAACCACTGTAACATCCCCATGGTCACATGATCAAAATGCAGGCGCTTGACACATATTTACAATGTCTCAGGGTCATGTGATCACCATTTGTAATCTTCCCAGACTGCTTCCAACAAGCAAAGTCAATAGGGGAAGCCAGATTTGTTGAATGACCATGTGATTCACTTAATAACGGCAGTGATTTACCTAACTGTGGCAAACAAAAGATCATAAACTTGGGCCCAACTCGCTCAACAATCACCTTGCTTAGCAATGGAAATTCTGGTTCCAGTTGTGGTTGTAAGTCAAGGACTATTCTGTAGCCTCTTTTGCCTATGAACCTTTCCAGTTGGAAAATGTTCTAGGACAGATATTTCTTCATAATTCCTTCTCGGGAATTAAGACTGGGAAGCCAGGAAATCTACAGGGCAGGATGAGGTGAGTGTGCAGTGAAAGGGATAAAATTTGCACACTTTGCCAGTTATGTGCATCTTCCCAATAATTTCACCAATATTTTCCCCTACTTGGATTAGATTCAGTTCCTTATTACTTCAATGAAGGAGATTATCTCAGAGCAAATGATGTTAATGATGGTAGGGTCTTTTGATGGTAAACCGTTCAATACAGACAGCCTAAACCTCTGGCATATAGGGTACAATATACACATTTGAATCTTAAAGAATGAAACAAAATAGGTACAAACACACTTACACTCATGGCTGCTACATCATTCTCATAAGCCTCCCTCACTTTCTTCATAATTTCTTGTTCTGCTCTGCAGCAATTATCAATGGAGCCTTTCACAGTGATAGTCCTTTCAGGGTTGTATAATGTCAAATCCTGAAGGCTGAGTGGGAACATCAGAACAAAAAGTGGTTCTGTCAAAAACCCCTGCCTGGCAAATCTTTCAGATTTCTGCATTCAATTCAACTAGTTTATCAAAGAAAGCACCCCAAGAATATAATTCTAGCATATAATTCTAGTAATATTCATTTAAAAGTAGGTAGCACTGTTACATACTCTGGCATTATTTTCCAAGGAAAGGCATGGATCACAGGAACTCCTACATATGAGGCAATCTTTTTGATATATAATGGCCACAGGCTGGGAGACAAAATTCCACAATTTGCTCCTCCAAAATATTTAGAAGGCAAAGGAGCTTTCTCTGCTCCCGTAATCATATCCAATTCTGTTTCAGCCTTTTGCCTTCTACATCAACTGTAATGGATACAGGGGCTAAGGCACCCATTCAGAAGTTTGTTTGTTTGTTTGTATGTTATTGAAGTAGAAGATTACTTGTCAAAAAAACTGGCAAACGGGAGCCAGGGGATAAGCAGGATTGTATTATATGCACACAAACACAGATTGCTTGTATATTCTCCATCAGAATAGGAAAGCCAAAAAGTTCACAACTATATTGAAAGTAAGGTAGGAAAAAACAAAGACTTACGAGGAGATGGTGATCTTTGTCTCTGTGTCCTGTTCTACTTTCTTCAGGTTGCGGCCCTCCTTGCCAATCAGTCGTCCCACAAAGTTGTTGTGGGCTAGGATTTTCAGAGGTACTTCATCAGCACTTGAGTATGAAAAATAAGTTAAGTGAATTAAAACTCAGTGGCAAATTGTTTGCTGGGCATGCAGAAGTCTCCAATTTCAATCACCTGCCTTTCCAATAAAGATATAAAGATTATCTAAAACAGTGGAAAACCCTGGTCAGGCAGTTGGTATCAATAAAAGTGGACCAGATGGACCTACAGGCAGTCCTTGTTTAGCAACTGCCTTGTACAGCAACTCTTTGCAGTTACCAGTGATGAAAAAATAACTTTGCAACCAATACCTGCATTTATGATCTTCACAAAACTATGAAGTTGAAGTAATATCATATTCACAGTCATGTTTTCACTTAGTGACTGCTTCACATAACAACCAGGTTGCCAGTCCCAACTATTGTCACTAAGTGAGGACCACCTATGTTTCCTAAACCTGTATTAGGCTGCTACTTCCAGTCTTATTCCCCAGTTTATTGCATTGAGAGCAATAGGACCTTCCAGCTATTGCAATGTCGGATCGCAGCTGGACTCTTTCTTTGGAGCAGTTATTGCTTGATCACAATTGATCACAGTTGATCACAGTTGATCACAATTGATCACAGTTCAGAATGCGGCCGCGCGGGGGATCCTGGGGGCCTCTAGATACTCCCATGTAACACCTCTCCTGCGCGAGCTGCACTGGCTGCCTGTGGCCTTCCGGGTGCGCTTCAAGGTGTTAGTAACAACCTTTAAAGCACTCCGTGGCAATGGACCTAGGTATTTACAAGACCGCCTCCTACCAAACACCTCCCTTCGACCAGTCCGCTCCCACAGAGAGGGCCTCCTTAGGGTGCCGTCGGCCAGACAATGCCGGCTGGCGACCCCCAGGGGGAGAGCCTTCTCTGTGGCAGCTCCTGCCCTCTGGAATGACCTACCCCCCGACCTACGTACAGTTGCGGACCTGCGCCTTTTTCGCCGAGCC